AAATCAGGCCTGGCCACAGTCAGCCCCGTCCCTGCACTTGACTCCCGTCCCTAAGTCCTGAAGCTTTTATTGCCTCCGGCGGCTTCGAGAGTCACCACCTGCCTGGAGCCCCTCTACCTTGCCTCCTTGGCCCTGGGACCACCTTGTGGCCCATGTGTCTGTCCACTGGGAGGCTGGGGTGGCAGGACGTGAAGGGGTCGGCGGACTTGGGTGAGCTCCTGTGTGTACACGTGTGTTCTTATTTGCACACGTGTTCCCAGCGCAAGTCAGAGACTGCTGCCCCTGCGTGGAGCCCTGTCCTGCCCCTGCTGTCCTGCTGGTGGCGGACATCACATCTTGTCTCACACCCTCACTCCCTGCCCAGGACCAGGAGGGTGGCTGAAGGTTTTATGGGGGTTGTTGGCCAAGAGAGGGGGCTTATTTCATAGAGACTGCCAGTTCACTCTGGCCTTCTTCTCTGGAGCCAGCAGCCTCCACCACATTGTGTCTGTCCCTGTGGGAACTGTGTCTTGCTGGTGGAGGCTCCAGAGGGGTTTCCTGACTGGCTGCCCCTGCCCGCTGCTGCTTCCTGGGTGCTCTCAGAACTTTGGGTGTAGCTCATGGTCTGGCCCGGCAGCCTGTGGCTGGGAGGTCGTGGCTGGGGGTCCCGATCATAGTTGATTGTGATAGGCGGAGAAGCTGCTGTAGGCTGTTGGGTGCCACCCTGTTGCCCCCTATAACTGCCCACCTGCTTAACCTACTGATTTGCCTTTTGCAGCCACGCCTGCCGGGCCACATGCCCGACCCCCATGGGAGAGAAAAGCTGCCGCCTTTTTAGGAGCCAGCGCCACCTTGGGACAAAAAGGGAAACCGAGTCATGCCATCACATGGAGGACGAGGCCCAGCCCGGCTGGGCCAGAGCCCAGAAGTGCCACCTCATCATAATTCAAGTGTTCTTCCATACAGCGTTGCCCCCACAACCACGCCGGACGTGCTCCCTCGCCACCTTTTCCAGATGACTTCTTAGAAGAGATTTCATTTATTTGTACATCTTTTGCACTTTCCTATTGAAGACTTGAACACGTTTGTCTTGATAAAAGTTGGATGACGTATGGAAGATTCGAACCTGCAGCACTGACGTCTCTTTACCGATGGGTTCCAGACCCAAGGTAGCCCTGGCACTGCCCTGTGGACTCGGCCCAGCTGGGGAGGACACGGCGCCCGGTGCCCTGGGAGCCCTCAGCGTCCCCTGCCTGTCCTGTCTGCACCTGTGTGACTGCCCCTTGTGCTTCAGCCCCCTGCCCACTTGGAGCCTCCCAACACCAGAGAGGACAGGTTTGGGGAGCCCCTGTCCAGCCCAATGGTGAGACCCTGGCTGACATTTCCCCTCCTTCCTACCAAGGCTGGCGGCCGCCAGGTGTTTGCTCTCTCCTTGCGGGGAGGAGGATCCTCTGCCAGCAGGTGTCTGTCCCCGGCCCAGCGTGTCTTGAAGGCCCTGAACTCTGTTACCAGTGGGGGGCCTGTGGCCCCGGCTCTTCATGGCGGGCAGAAGCGTGTGATCCCCGGAGGGTGGGCTGGGGAGGACCAGCACTTGCCTCGGAGCCACTGCTGCGTTTGGGGTTTGCCTTTTTCCAGAGGTGTGGTTAAGGGCAGTGATAGCTGGCGCCCCAGCAAGGAGGGTCATGGGCCCTGAGCTGGTCCAGGAGACCCTGGCCCTGCCCTGTGCCCTGGGATGCCTGCCCCGCCCACCTCCACGGGTGGAACCGGGCTGCCCCTGGGGGCCTGGGCTTGTCTCATTCCCCTGTCCCTGGAAAGGCCCTCCCGGGGCCTTCCTGCCTGAGGCTGCAGTCTTGGAGGGCATGGGGAGAGCTCTGCCTGAGGGGGACCGGACCCAGTGCCCTCTGCAGACTCCTCCCAGCCGCAGCACCAGGGGCTTGCTGCCTTGTCTCCTGCCAGGAGCACTCTGGGTGCAGACCCCCAAACCATCTTCCCACATGGGGGTTGTTGGAATCCCACCACTCCCCCGGCCCCTGTGCCTCCAAGCTGGGGACGGAGATGGGGAGCAGGTCAGGCCCTCCCTAGGCCTGTCTGTGTCTGATCCTCCTCCCAGCCCCGGGTCCACCTGGAAGGCATTTCTGAGTCTTGAACTGAGACCTTCCCAGGGAAGGTGCTTTGGGTGCAGAATCCTGGGAATGTTAGGAAAGGGCTCTGTGAAAAACCCAGCTGGCTCTGGGGTGGAGGTGCCACAGGCGCTGGGGCTCAGCTCCCTGCAGAGGGCCTGCCTGGGACTTAGTGGGCCAGGGCTGGGTCAGGATTCACCGGCTTGTGTTGCAGACACTGGAGTCATTGCCTGGCCCTCCCTAAGCCCCAGATGCCTCACTCATAATGAGGCGCTCTCTGAACCCTGGAGGGCGGGACCCGCAAGCCCTTCGTCTTGACGCACTCCCACACTCCAGTCTGGATCCAGGTCTGGAAGGCCAGGCTGACCCTGACACTGCAGGTGGGCGTAGTGGGGAGCACCCTGGAGTGGAGATGATTGTCAGCGGGCTCACGTGGTTTATCCACACGCGTGTTGTGTGCTCTGCAGTGCCTCCCGGCAAAGGCTCCTGGCTCGGGTCACAGGCGAGGTGACCTGCCATAAGCTCACTCCTGTGCCCTCATCCCCAACCAAGCAGTGGCCCGCACTGGGCTTGGCTGTCACTGGGAGCAGTGCCCACCTTCCTTGCCCCACAGCAGATAGGTCCCGAGCAGCAGGACTGGAGGCCTGTGGCGGTCAGGGGAGGGGTCTGTCTCCACCCCAAGGGCTGATGGTCCCTCCCCTGGGAGCCCCTCCTTCGAGGCAGCCTGGCTGTGTCCCTTCCTCTCTGCCTCCCTCCCAGGCCTCGCCAGGGCTCCCTTCTCCTCTGCCTGGTTAGACTCGGGCACCCAGGAAAGCCTGGCCAGAGCTCCTTCGGGCCTGGGCCCCTTGCACTGCCTGGTCCAGAAGGGGTGGTGCTCTCCGTGGCCGGCACCCCGGAGCCCGGGAGGGGTGGGCTGCTGAGTCAGAGCGAGTTTGGGGCTGACCAGTTTGGGAGAGGAGAAAAGATCTGAGAGTGTTGTCTTGGTTGTCAGTCATCTCTGCCGAAAGCGGTGATGGTGGCTTCCGTGTGTTTGGCATCTTCTGGCTGGGTTTGGTTTTTGCTGCTGGTGGAATCAGGGTCCTCAGGCATGAGCATGAGCCCAAAGTGCCAGTCTGCGATTGGAGATTTCCAGCCACTTTATTTAAGCCAGTGCTGAGTAGGGCTTCTGCAGAGCCACATTTGAGCCAAGGTCTTGGAAGGCATTGCCCCATGGGCTCAGGTTACTCGGGGTGGAGTGAGCACGTCTATAGGACCCTCACATACATGCCTGAGGCAGAAGCAGCGTCCCCCTGTGAAAGCCACCTTCCGAAGCTCCTGTGTTTTCTGCAAACTTGGCTTCTCCCAGGGGCAGGCCGGACTTTCCCTGCCCCCTATGATTGAAATCCTCCTGCTTTCGGGGGGCGGCCTTCCCAGAGTCCCCCGGGTGCTCCCCTGCCCAAGTCAGGAGCTGACCAAGCCTTGGCCCCGTGACACGTGCAGCCCTCACTCCTGTCATCCAGGACACTTGAGGGCCCAAGGAGGTGGAGCGGAGAGTGGGCCTGGGGACGTGGGAGCTGGAAGCCAGGTGGAGCTGGTCAAGTGTTGGTCACTTGGAGCCTCCAGTGTGCGTCGGGGTCCGTGGGCAGGGGACAGGGCATGGGTGCGGGCCGAGGCTGGCATGCCTCTCTACCCTCGCCGTCTTGGTGACCTGGCCTCGGCCCCTCCCCAGGTCTCTCCTGTGCACGGCCCAGCCTGGGTCTCGGAAGCTGCTTCCTGGCCCGTTTTCTATGTCTGGAAGTTTACAGGTTGCGGTGCATCAGCCCAAACTCACTGGCGTTGTGTTGTGTTTTGTTTTTTTTTCTTTAATTTTCAGATTTTTTTTAACAAAGTATTTTTTTAGGTGCGATAACCCAGAAAGGGCCCGTTGGGTGTGTGTGTGTGTCCTGAACTCCTCAAGCAGAGACTGGAGCCCAAGCACCCTTGGAAACGAAGGGACGGTGCCACTGGCCCGTGGGGTCTGAGTTCAGGGGTGTGGAGGGAGCAGACCCCACTGGCCCAGGCCCAGCTAAGAGGGGACTGATCCCTTTCCCCAGGCACAGCCCCAGGCTGGCAAAGGGAGGGTCCTGGGCTGGGTGCAGGGCGCACCAGGAGTCCCAGCCAGGGTGGCCCCGGCGGGGGCGGGTCGAGCTTTGGAAGCCAGGCTCCCCTGTGAACCGTGGCTTGTCTGGTCTTCGCCCGCGGGAGGCTGGACAGAGGCTGTAGCCAACACAGTCACCTTTTCTTTGTACTCTGTGTGTATGTTTTGGTTTTCTGTGTTTTAATAAATCCTTTGGGAAAGGATTTAATCAGAGTTTTTTTTTTTTTTTTTTTTTTTAAGATTCAAGATTTAGAATGGGGTGGGGGCTGGGGCCAGGGAAGAGTGGTGGGGGGTGGGGGTGTGTCCGGAAACCTTCTCTTGCCTGGGATCGGCATTTCATGGGCGCAGGGGCTCACTGGGAAGTGGGGGGAGCATGAAACAGGGGTGTGCTGGGGTGAGGCCCCTTTCACCTGTACCCCAAACACATGCCATGAGAGCT